AGATTGAACTGTCCTAAGCATCTAATGCCAAAATTCTAGTTGTTTTTCTGTAGAACCCTTAGATCTGTTTGTATTCTGACTTTTCACCTTCCAAATATCTGATTCTATACTGGCTCACACTTCTAGCTGAATCCAAATCGTGGCACACATCTCTACTGGTGTGCCGTTTATACCAGTTATAAACAACCAGCCACCCATCCCTAATTACAATGCACAATGTGTGATCACTGTCTGCAGTCAGCCTCCCCCTCTTTCTACTCTTTATCTTATGTTTCCTGCTTTTTAAGTTCATCTCCCAGCTCCCTAATTTCTTCTCTTGCCATTAAGTCTTTTTCCTATTTCTTAACACCTCTGCTATCCACACAGACGCTCACACCGGTTCACACCGGCTAACAGTTTAATAAGTACTTTAGAAGTGTTTAACAGGTTCTTCAGGGAACCGGTACAAAATCACAGCATTGCTCACATAGTTTCAAGACTATTCATTTGACTCCAGAGACATCAATAGCATTTCAGAGACAGAGCAGCAGTCCCACTTCTACCACAGAAACACCTTGAAATAATGCTGATCTGCCTTAAAACCTTTTGTGTTGTGACTAGACAGAATGCATGCCTCTCCTTTCCTTTTCTTTCATTTGACTTCAAAACAGTGCGAATGTCTGCCAGGACTATTGAATTGACTTCTGAGGACAGCTTAATCTATGTAAATCTTTGACTGCTTGTTTGTCAAGTGGCTGATCAGAGACCGTTCACAGTTGGTGTTGAGGGGGCTTTGAGAGCTCTCGAGCTTTTTTAAGTAGACTTGGCTCACGTATCAGAGCACCACCCGAAGTTTGAGTCTTCCATTCTACTCCAGCGTGCAAACAGTTGACATTCTGACAAGTGATGACTTGGTCTTATTGTTGGGTTTAGCCCATGCACCTGGGTTTCCCTCGGCAAAGCGAGAGAGACGCGCTGTTTAGGCCAGCTGATGTTTCTGTGAGCCAAAGCCATACAGCTGCTCAGCTGTGTGTATTCTTGTGCCTGTGTTTAAGCACACTCCTGCCTCTCGAGTAAACACTGTAAATGCACGGTGTGCAGTTACTGTATCGCTGCTCTCCGACCTTCACTGCACTTCCCAGTGTTGTTTTTGCTGGCAGATCGGAGGTGTGCTTGTCATGCAGGGTTAGTCAGGCAATCCTTCTCCCATGGGGAGCGCAAGGAGTGGCTGGTGCACAATCAAAGTATAAGATTGTCAGTTTTTCAATCTGGTTCATTCTCCTCATTTAAGAAGTTATACAGGTGAACTTCACGACATCCAAGTGGGAATAAACAAACATTTTACACACTTTTGTCAAATCTATGCAGCCCTTAAAGTCTTAATTTACAGTCATCAGATAGACAAAATTTATGGCGTTACCATAATACAAGCCAAGTTATCTTCTTGAGCTTCCACACAAGAATAGGAAATGCAGCCTGTTATCAATTCAGCCCGGGTGGTTGGCAGTGGATCACGTTCTGTCTTTGATAGCTCGGAGGGTCTGGCAGCTGAACACCCCCTCTTCTTCGCTTCTCACTTTGGTCTTGCCTGTTTTCAGTCCTCATCATCTGGCAGATAATTGCCCCTACAGTTACGGGTTTTGTGTGTGTGTCTGCATGTGTGTTTGTGTCCATAATTGAGAGCAGCAGCCAGACTCTCCATAACTTCCGGTTAAATCGCCAAGGCCACCTCTGTGCATACTGTGAGCTGATCCATGGGATCCTTGGGTTTGGGGTTTGTATTTGATCCTGGCAGGTTTGATTGAATTGTATCTTATCTGAAGCTCAATCCATTTTCAAACCTTTGTTTTTACACCACCTATGAAGAATGCCATATTTCACTCAACAAACATGCCAGCAGTTTCAATAATATATTATTGTGAAGTTATCATATGAAGATATCATAACTGAATATTAGTATATGTTTATGATGGAAACCAAAGAGGCTGTTGGAATTGTGTTCAAACCCCACTGACACTCCTGATACTCTTCTATTTTCATCTATTTAGATATTATTCAAAGTATTCTTGTAAGGGAAAAAACAAATATGATCTCATTTTTGAAAGACATTTTTATTAAGATTGTGCTAAATAATTGATTTATAATATTCAATCAAAATTCTGTAATCTCTCTGAAATTAACAGAAGTTGTTGCTATTTTTTTTTATTTTTTATGTATTCATCAATTTTTTCAGGCTTGTTGAAAATTGTAAATACTATTTATTATTTGCCTATAAATAATAACAGAGACATTAACAATATTATATTCCCCTTAATCAATATTCACATTCATCAATATTCATGAGTATTTTGGGGACAGGCTGAATTCTTTTATATTTTTATTAAAAACTCATCAGCATTTAGTAAAGACATTGTAACTATACACTGGTATATACTGGTCTGAAGAGTCTTACTGGAGATGGATCATATTACTAAACACTTTAACCACAGAATGTTGTGTCAACTCAATAAACTCAATGCAGGCGAAGACCTGTGAAAATCCTTCGAATTTAAAGTGAGGCACTCTGAACCATTGCAACCTCTAGACCTACCTGTAGCAGCACATGTGCATGCACACAAAACACAAATGGCCCAGTTATTTTAATGCCATCACTGTAACACATGGCAGTGTTGGGCGGAAATAATGACATGGGCCGAGAGAGCCACTGATGCGAACCAGATGAGGCACTCTGACTTAAAAGGCAGAGAGGGAGGAACAAGAGCAGAACTGGACAAACTGAATTGACAGCACAGCGCACACAGTGAGGTGGACCGCGTGACTTAGACATTCACATCAAATGATCCGTATAAACACACGACAGGTTCACCCAAACAACGGTGACACTGTAGATATTGTGTCTTAAGATACTTTTTTCCCTCTGCAAGCTTCTTCTTTGGTCTTATTTACTATACAGGTGCCTTATGTGCCTGTGGGGGCACAATGCACAGAGTACTGTTGTGCACACTATCAGGGTCTGTCTTTTTTTTCTTTTTACATGTGTGATGATGTTATTGGAAACTAAGTGGATCCATTTTATGTGAGCAGTGTTGCAGCGAGCTTGGCCCTGGGCCTGCCTGAGGCCTGGTTCAGCACTGCTCTGCTCTGGCCCGGCCACAAAGTGCAGTTCTCTCTCATGCGGCCCCTGACCTCCTGACGCATTTCCTGACCCAGGAAATAGAATTAACACCTCAGTCTGGGCCTTGAGGTCCCACAGCCGCATACACAGCTGTGCATTAGCCTGGCCCAGTCCAGTCAGACCCAGCTAGCTAGTGCTCTATGACAACTGATGCTGAGATGGAAAAGGGAAGCAGGAGATTTTCTTTGGAGCATATGAAGAGAGCTCATTCCACTGCTAATTTTAATGTCTTTTGTTGGTTGAGGAGTTTTAGTGCCGCTGCAGTTTCAGTAGTAACTACAGCCAAATGACATACAGCAGAGTCCAGAAGTCTGAGACCACTTCCACATTGACTTGAATGACTGTTTCTTCAAAGGCTCTTTTATTACTTTGCTAATTTTACCTCGAAAATAATGCAAAATAAAAGAACAATTTCACTTCGACTAAATGCCATTATGATCCACTTCTAGCCCGACATCCTGTGTAAGCTCTCTAATGGCTCATGCAAATCACAGTGAGATGTAATGTTATAACCGGCAACCCAACAGCCCAGACGGAGATTCTGGGTTGGCATTTCTGCAGAGTCATTTTGTGGTGTTGTTGACTCTCTGTTCTCAGAGGTTTAATGTGCCTCTCAAACTCCAAACCTGATGCAACCTCATTTAAAAAGGCCAAAATTCAAGCTTAGCAACCATATTTGATCATTTCGTCTGTGCTCAGTATTTGGATCGCGACTCCAAGTCACAGTCGAGTAATGTGAGATATCTTGTGCATCAGACCTTAATGGTGCAGCCCACGCCCTAATGTTCTTCAAAATAAAAATCTATACAATATGTAATGCAATGCCTTCCACCAGGAGTTCTTTAATAATATGGTGGCTTTCCGATGTCATGAGTGCAGTAAATCTAGGAACTGGGGTTTAAAAAGAGAAAAGTGGATTATCTGTTTATTAGACATTTTATGTGAACCATATATCAGAGGAGATGGATCTTGATATTCCGAAGTCTTAAGTGCTTTATCTGTTTTCTTCATTAGTTAAAGGCTCTTATGCAGGAAAGGAAATACACACATTTATGTGAGTTTTCTCGCATACACACACACACACACACACACACACACACACACACACACACACACACACAGATTAGCCAGTTCCTGCATATAAGCACCCCATGTGTTTGCATTTAAGTCACACATTGCCAATCTCCTGGGAGCACTTTGAAGCATACTCCTCCAGAGCAGATCATAAAACAGGAGTATAAGTAGTTTTTCACATAGTTGTATCCCAGAACACCCCACTACCACCACGTCCCACTCCCACCCAACAGCTCACTGCCTCCACCTTCCACCTCCAGTCCACTTACTCTCAAAGGTGCAGGGTGAGCATTTGGCTCGGAGATTTGCTGTGACCATGTCTTAAGCGAATCCCCTCACTTGGTTTCTCTCCAGATGTTGTATAGAAAGACTCACAGAGCAAGCAGTGGTGGAACTCTCCCATCTTTTCTCTTGCCTATATTTGCTTGCATCCTTAGAATTATTGCAACAGAAACATTTCTTTGTCAGCCCAAACTTTGCACCTCAACATTGTCGAAAACACAAATCCTGAATTCTCTAAACCACACTTGTACCATTTCGGCTGTAGTGTAGGAGAACCACACGTAAAAAAAAATACACCTAAACTGCCAAAAAACTGTTGTCTAAATACTGTTTTACAACCCAGTGTGATGAGTTTTCATTGTTGCCTGCAGTATGTGGAGATATTACATTTTTTTTGGTATGAATGTGTCTTGTGTCTGGAACAGTATTTGTCATTGTGATGTGTTTGTGTGTCTCCTGTATTAACTCTCTTGCTCTTCTGTCTCCACAGTACTTTGAGGTGCCCTTTGACTCCAACATGAACCGTACAAAGAACCGTCCACTGGTCAGAGGACAGATCAGGTACAGTTTTCTGTCTTTGTTCTTATTTTACAGCACTTTTCTCTTTAAATACTTGGCATAGCAACTCCATCTGCACTATTTACCACTTTAAAAAGATGGTGAAGACGGACTGGCGAGAGTGCAAAAGGAGAGAAGGGCAAGAGCTCAGCATGAGTTGGAGTTCAGTTCGGTGCAGTGCAGTGGCACCTTAGCAACATTACGTGACAGCTACTGAGCCATCCAAGCTGCCTTTTGTACAATCCATACTGGACGAATGTCAAAGTCTGCCACTGTTGCCTTGCCCACTGACCTTATCCAGTATTGCTGTGGGACATTATTCTAGGAGTGAAATATGACATAACAGCTTGTGGTGTCAAAGCCTGTGTGTATTTGTTGGCAATATTATAATGAAGAGTTAATCTTAAATAAAACAGTAGCACCGAGCACACATCCGGTATTGATTTACATTCTGCACTTCTGTTCCAGCTTTAGTTATTGACTTATTATGGCACTGGGACAGAGCAGTAGCTGTGTGCGTGAAATAGTGGAAGACAGTGACCAAAGCTGCCAGTCAGAGAAAAGCATGCCAGCAGCGTCGATCCTCTGCGTTACACCTGCCAGGTGTAATGTGAGCTTGTTAGCAGGTTGAGAAGGAGGAGGGGCGAGGTTAAGGTTAGGGTGTAGTTTACCCGACTACCCCTACTTTGCTACCTCCACTGCTAGATGAAAGATAACCTCTGCATTGGTACTCAGTGAACTGGATGCATCGCCACGCTCCTGCAAATCTTTGGGAGACTGCCACCCTTCAACAGCAGGCACACACACACACACACACACACAGACACACACACATACATATTCACTGATTCATGAACCACAAAAACAAACCAACCACATGTCCTCTTCACCCCTTGTCAGTGTTAGGAAATCCTCTGCATTTCACTCTTACAGGAAACACCCTACCTTTCATTTCATTTTTATTCAGGAGGAACAAAAACAAACAACTTGTTGACATAAGAGGATGAAACCCCTTTCACTACCAGTTCAATTCACATGCAGCCAGCACCAGGAAGCTAAATACCTCCATTGCCTGCTAATATACACCAGTAACGTAGTCACTCTATGACTGAACAGCCTGTTAGTGTCATAACTGGGCCTTGACCCACAGCTATCTCATCCCAGTTTCAGGAATTCTCCATTGACATACTGTTTAAAAGCGGCCTCTCCTGCTGTTGAGCTGGTGATTGAAGATGTTCTCCGACTGTCTAAACACAGCCTCTTCTCTCCGGCTTTTAGTGTGCCCCTGACAAAAGAAGGTGTGTGTCGGTCTGTCTGCGAGACACACAGAAACTTTATATCCCTCGCTCTGTGTCTCTCCCTCTCTCTCTCTTCTTTCTCCCTCACATATACAGTCTTGCGTAGAGACAGCGAGCAGATGGGAGGCTGGACTATCCTGTCAAACAATTCATCAAAAGGCCATATTTTACACATTTTCCATTTTGTTTCCCGAACGAGGCTTTTTATGAGTCAGATGATGTTCCTCCACTACATCTGCCTTACTGTGGGAGCCTGTCTACCCAGTATGATGTTAGCAATAGTTTGCCGTTTTATGTCGGGGACTTACAATAGTGTATCATCTTTCCCACCTTTTATTGTTCTTCTGTAAAATGTGGACCACAGTCCTCCATCCTTTTGTTGTGGTTTTGCAGAATTTGAGGCTTCCACATGTGGTGATGCTGAATAGCTTTCAGCTTGGTAAGAGCAGGCGCACACAGGATTAGCTTTGGTCTCTTACTCACACTGCAGTTGTTGAGTTGAAGATAGGTAAGATTTGGGTGTCATGGCTGTTAACCAAGTAGGACCAGGTCAGTTAGTGTTGACAGCTAGGAGACATTAGTGAAATAATCTTTTATCAAGGTGCATTTATTAGCTGTCTGGTGCTTTCAGCTACATCTCATGGTATTCATGAGTGGATGGAGTTTGCTTTATCAAGAAAACCTTTTCAAAATGACTTTTTCCCAGGTCAGAAATTAACTTTAACATTCAACTTTTTGTGATTATGTTTTTTTTAATGACTGGAATCATGACTGTCTAAATCATGTAGAGGGAGAATTTTTTTTTTCATGGCTGGAAATGGAGAGGAAACTGTGCAGTGTGCTGTGAAGGAGAAGTATTTTATAATTCAGTTCATCTAGCTCTTGGTGCGGATACGTTAACTTGTCTACAGCTGTTTACCATCTTATGCAAATGTAGCATTTTTCCTCCCTTTCTTTGCTTTTTCCACTCTTTGTTGCTGTTTTGGCTACAGAACTAGCCCACTGGTCTTTTAGAGAGTTGTCCTCTGTATTTACTCGTCATTTAATATGTGCTCTCTTCCGGCTGTCAATACAAAACAATTCTGTGTGTATTTGAAGATATAGTAGTTATGTTTCAGTCTAATATTCAGAGGTTTCTATAAACTCTACTCCCACACTTCCTAGTTATACACTCATCCCTGAAGGCACTGTGTTGTTTAGGCTTACACAGGTTCACTGCAGTTTCTTACCACTCAAATATTTAACAGGTAACTAAGTTTTAAGTGGAATCTTCCTGTTTCTTTAACTCAATCTCAAGTGTTTTACATAGGGATCCATGGCCTTGATTGTGGTCTGACCAGCTGCCCACATCTCTGGCTTTCCGTATTGACTTTACCTACCTGACGTTATGACTGCGGCTGTGTCAGACTGTAAGCAGAGGACAGTAAACCTGCCTCAGGCCATGTGACGCACACCCTCCATGACCCCCACTGAGCCAGCCCACAGACAGACTGTCAACAGCCCATAGCCAGCCTGTACGGCCCCACCTCAGCCCACATAAAACAGACATAACACCACTAATCACATTAATGTACCAATCTCCCTGCTCGGCCACACCACCAAAATAAAAGCCCTGTTTGCTTTTTGAAGAAAAGGCCTGCATTTGGTCAAGATTTTAATCTACCCTCTCTTTAATTTATGGAGCATTTACTGGTGAATTTGAACCAGACCTTGCCATCACTGCTTTCAATAAAAGATGAGGGGAGGAGGAGGAGGAGGAGGCGGAGAAAATCTTCATCCGGCTAAAAGCCTGAGCCACTGTGGTTTTCTTCAGCTAGTTTTGATCTCCGGCGTGTGCACATGCTCTTCATCTTGCAGGGCTACTTTTATCCCTGACAAACTCTTATCAGATGAGCTTCTTCTAAGCCTCCCGTTTTGAGACTCAGCCATGCACGGCTGCAGACTGTCAGTGTGTGGCCCCCATGGGTCTGCACGCGTGTGTGCTGAACATGTTTGGTTATCATTGTCCTATCTTGTGTCTGCACAAGCCCACAAAACTTTATCATCCCGTTGTCCCCGTGGCTGTGATGGACTTTTGTCTGTGCCTCAATCAGTGTACTATAACTTGCCTTTTATCAAAAGGAAAAAAAATCAACCTCATCTTGTATATTTGCTTTTGTATGTTTTTTTTTGGTTTTTTTTGTCTTGCTGATTAAACTGACTCTCATATCCTCTCCCTTTTTGTCTCTTTTTTCTCCCTTACATGTTCCAACATCAGTCCCCTCCATGCCGTGTCCTTCGCTCTGGCCTGTGGAATTCCTGGAGTCGCTCTGCTCACACTGGCTGTGAACCCCTTAACAGGCTTCCTGGGTGCCCTCAACATCTTTCTCTACACCTGTTGCTACACACCACTCAAGAGGCTCAGTATCACCAATACCTGGGTGGGGGCAGTGGTGGGTGCGATACCTCCTGTCATGGGCTGGACGGCTGCCACAGGTTGTCTGGAGCCAGGTACGACTCACTAGCATAGCTGGAGATATGGGGTGTTAGTGGATTTGTGTAAATGTGTAGAGGCTAGTGCTGAAACAGGAAGGTGGTTTAGAGAAAAGTATTCAGTTGTGGGGCAGCTTTAACATGCTGAAGTCATTTATCAAGCAAAGAAGCCAAACATTCACTGGATCCAGCTCCTTTTGCTTCTCTCTGTTTTATATCAGTGTAAATTAAATATTTTTGGGTTTTGGAAGCAATTTGAAAACATCACTTTGAGCTCTGAGAAAGTGAAATGGACTTTCCACTGACATTTGATAAAACTAAATGATAGATTAAAAAAATGATCAACATATTCATTTATTATGTTATAATCCTTAATTGATTCAACCACAGTAGCACTTTCACAATTTTTTTGATCTTATGTATCACTGCATTTGTATCTTACCTTTCAAATGTGAGATATAAACATAGCATGTTGTTGTGAACTGAACACCCATGCTATTTCCTCTGTAGATACTGTGTAGGACAGAGAGCAGCTGCAATATGTATAATTCATACAGCCATATTTGTCTCCCTAGAATGGCATTTGAGTTTTTTTCTTCTTTTTTGATGGAAACATTTATAAATATTCAATTTCAGCTGTTAATCAAATACTCTTTGTGTCCATTTGGTATGGCAAACAAGTAAAAAGCTGTAGTGCCATTGTTCAAAAGTATCACATTATAATTAAGGTTTGATATGAACTATGCCTCCATCACAATCCAGTGTCAAATATATATTTTCTATCTGTAATTTATGGTCTCTTCTATTCAACACAACTCACATCTTAACAGTCTGTGTCAGACTTCATTAGATCAGGAGTTAAGTTTCAATTGAAGCTGACAGATAATTAATCTGCATCAGTACTAATAATCAATTTATTGTTTACGTCATTTTTTAAAAAGCAAAATTGCCAAAGAAAATGACCGATTTCAGCTTTTTAAAGGTCAATACTGTATTTGCTTTTTGTCTTGTATGATAGTAAATGGAGAATGTTTGGGCAATTAATCAATGCTAAAAATAATTGTTGCAGCCATAGTTGACTCACATTGCTGTTTTCCTATTCTAACGCCTTTTGTGAGTTGTTGTACTTCACTGGGTTCATCGGGACCTCTGACGTCACACTACATAAAGCTTTATTTACATATGGCCCAGGATCCCTGTAGTGCTGTTAGTTGTGCTTGTTCCTGGTGCCTGTGGAGTTTGAATGCACTTATTGTGAGTGGCTTTGCACAAAAGCATCTGCCAAATGAATGTAATGTTAAGTTAGTGAAGAGACAGGCTGGGGGGCTTATCCAGCTTGTTTGGTGGACACATTAAGTGATCTGTTATGGCAACTGTATGAGATGTGTTTCATCATGTTGCTGCTGTATCCCTGAGGAGCGCTCATACAAGTTACTGTTTATGCTCCAAATATTTAGTGGGCTCTTACAGCATCATGTTTAATGAATTTACTGGCTTTTGAGTTCTATTCCATTCAATTGCTGTTTATTTTCAAAGGGCCGCTGATTCCATGGCATCTCATCCTATTCCAGTGTTTCCCCTACTTGCACCTAACATAACATTTTTCTTCAGAAACTCATGTTAGGCCTGTATTATTTTACACTATGAACGCTTCATATCAACACCCTTTCCTCTCCACCCACTTCAATTATTCTTCTACTCTTCCTCTATCGCTCTCACCACCACCCTCTCCTTCTCTCCATTACTTTACATCTCTGTGGAACTTGCATTGTGCTCCTTCCTCCTGCTCTCACTCTCTCTCTCTCTCCCTCTCTCTCTCTCTCTCTCGCTCTCTCTCTCTCTCTACCCAACTGGTCAAGGCAGATGACCGCCCACCCTGAGCCCTGTTCTGCTCAAGGTTTCTGCCTCTGAAGAGGGAGATTTTCCTTGACTCTGTTGCCAAGTGCTTGCTCATGGTGGGATTTGTTGGGTCTCCGATTGATATTATAGAGAGTTTGGTGTAGACCTGCTCTGGAGGAGGAGTTCACATGAAATGTTAATGGTATTTTAACCTGTGGTAAATTAAATCAGCTGTTTCTGTAATAGACAGTGATATTTTGCAGGAAAACCATGTGACCTTGAACGTCTCTTTTTAAACGTGGGTCAGACTGTTTTTACAGTAAAGCAGTTGCACAATACAATTTATTTATTCTGCTATTGTTGCTGGAATTTTCACCTCTTCACATTTTTCTCTTATCATCAACCTTATAAACAGGTGAAGCTGTGCCAGAAATCCCTACTCTGGTTTTGCAGTAAAATAAAAAAAAAAGACTAGTATGTGTGTTAAAATCATGATAGACCAGCAGAGACACAATCACCTGGGACATAACAAGACATTCTTCAAGATGATGCGTGGAAACATAACTCCCCCTGTAACCACTAGCGTCTGACTGACAGAAATATAATCAGTAACTTTTTTTGATTATCAGTTCATCCTTTCAGTTCAGCATTCCACACAGAAAAGCCAAAAGTTCAGTGTTTCTGGCTGCTTCTTGCTGCTTTTTCTCTGTTGAATATCTTTGGGTTTTGGACTGTTGTTCAACAAAACATCTTCACCTTGGAAGAAGTTTGCAGCTGTGATATAGGAAAAGCACAGAGGTCTGAATATGAGATTACACATGGTTTTCTGACAGTGCACTGTGTTTTGTTGAAATAGTAGTTTTCTGTTTTAAAATGGGCCAATGTGTTAATGTGGACCTCTGGATGAAGCTAGTTTTTGGAAAGTCCAAAGCACTTTTCTGAATATTTAATAATTTTTTGAATAAAACAAAAGCTTTGTAAAGTGTTTGTTTATGGAAGTTATGGAAGTTATGTCTTTTATTACCAATCCAAGATTAACAATCACAACGTTTCAGCACTTGTCCTAATAATTGGCAGCCGAGTGCGAGTTAAAGAAGCAGCACGATAGTCTGACTCCCTCAGACTCTGCAATCTGCGTCATTAATCCTCTCCCTCCCCATTCTTTTTATCTCTCCCTCCATTTTACACCCCCCCACCCACCCCACCCACCCCCCCCAGGTGCTTTGTTGCTGGGTGGTTTCCTGTACAGCTGGCAGTTCCCCCACTTCAACGCCCTCAGCTGGAACTTGAGGGAAGACTACTCCCGCGGCGGCTACCGCATGATGTCCGTCACCCACCCTGGCATGTGCAAGCGTGTGGCCCTGCGCCACAGCTTGGGTCTGATCGGCCTGTCGACATTAGCGCCCGTGCTGGACGTCACCACCTGGACCTTCCCCCTAATCTCCCTCCCCATCAACCTGTACATCAGCTACCTGGCCTTCCGCTTCTACCGCAAGGGAGACCGCAGCAGCGCCCGCAAGTTGTTCTTCTGCAGCCTGTGGCACCTGCCCATGCTGCTGCTGCTGGCGCTCACTTGCAAGAAGCCTCGCAGAGACCAGACGGACGCGGGTCTACCTCCAGCTCCTTCTTTACCACTCACACTGCAGAGCTAACTAGTTTCATAGATGCCCCGACACCTCTAAGACTCGCCTAGTGTTTTCCCCTGACCACCCATCATGCTTGGTGGGGGCTGGGTGATGGACACATTATTTTACCTGTGTGTTTAATTCGAGAAAGCGGTTCTCACTGCAGATAAGAAAATGAAATGGAAATGATTCGGATCAAAACGGCTGATTTACAGAAAACACACAGAATTATTACATCAGGTTGTAATCATTTCCATGTGTGTGTGCTGTATATATTCTGTATTTATTTACACAGGGGCCCTCCGGTTCCTCTCCATGTTGTACGACTGATGTTAAATGATCTTGTACAGTGTAAATTGCTCCTGTGGATCCACACAGCAGTACTGTCTGCAGATGACCCCATGCATTGTATAAATGCAAACTAAAAGGTGGACATGAAGACATCATGTAATCAAAAGATTTCTATTTGATCATCAGTAAGAGAGAGTACGAAAATAGGACAAATATAAAGTTATTCTGAAGCAGCTGTAACACTGCACCTGATATCTGGTGATTGTTTGACTTTTACTTGATCCCTGCTACTTGACAGTTAATAAGCCTCATTGTATTTTGCGACTGAGCAAACGCACTGATGGGTCTTCACTCATTTACATAATGCGTTCTTTCAAAACGGTTTGCCTGCTCCACAACAAAGGGAATAACCCTGTAAGAAACACAAGGGTAAATGTTCTCTAACAATAAACACATCGTGATTGTAATTCTGTCTTCTGTGTCATCATTTACTCGTTCACTGTTTCCACTTAAATATCAATTTAGACGCTCTAAATGGCGCGTGAGCGGCTGTGTACCTGATGTAGACGCCTCTGCTCTCTCATCAGACACACACAAACCACTGCCACGCCTCGTTAGGTGCTGGTGCTGACTCAGAGTACACGTAATATTTGGATTTAAGTTTCAGTTATAGCCTTTGTGGATATGTTCAATTTAAGCACAAATCACCATCCCTCCAATAAGCTCTATTTAACAGGCCACCTCTGCACCTGTCAGTCAACATGTGCTCCCCTTCCGCCCCTTTACCCCTAGTTTTGGTATTTGGTTACATTTCCATCACTGCACTTTGGAGAAACGAGTGCCCCCACCACCCTCCCTTTCCCCTTCCCTTCGCTGCCATCCTCCTCCCCCTCCATAAAAGGGGGATGGGGGTGGGGTGGGGATGGGCTGTGGGATTTAGCCAAGGCCGGGAGAACCTGAAAGGGCTCGGCATCCTCGTAAAGCGTCTGACCGGATACGGAGTTTCATATCAGAGGGTGAAAGGGGGAGTGATGGAGCCAGCTGTTACAGTTGGGAGAAAAAACACACACACAACCTGTGTGGAGATTGAATGTCGTCGCCAACCTCCATGGCCCGGCGTGATGGCCCGCCATGGTTTACAACATCCGCTCCTAGGTGCAGGGGTGACTCTGGAGCTGTCTTGTCTTTGTGGTGTTATTTCTACTTCTGATGCCGGTGGTTGATGAATTATATTGAATATACACACACAGCATTAGGGCTTTAGCTGAAATTTCAACTGTTGCTTGATTTACTAAACCACAACGTAAAGAGGCAACAAGAGAGGTCGAGCTAAATTCATCCTTTGAAATGATCATTATTCAAACTTAACTGTGACGGTCTCAGATTTAAAGTTAGAGAGATGTAAACATGAGAGTTGTTCAATAACTCATACAACTCATCCACTCATAAGTCTGTTTCACTTTTTGTAACTTCACTTGGATGTTTGAGCTTCACAGTGCAGAGTGATGTATGTGCAAAGTTATTCAATTATTAGACATTTAGTACTTTAGATTTATCAAATTAACCCTCATGTAAAATGGAGAAAAAGTTCAGAAAGTCTTTGTGTTATTATTTCACAAGCCAACAATATTTCATGAGCACTCTTCTCCCTCATCTCTCTCTTTTCCGTGCATGAAAACATGGAGCTTTCTGCTTATATCGCTCATTAAATCATTCATGTTATTTGCCCATTCAGTGTGAGCCTGAAGCTTTCATGCCAGAGTCAACAAAGTGAAGAGCGAAATATGCATCTGTAAACAGGAGAGAGTCCCCAAACAGCAATCTGCTGTCCAGCCCCAGTGCTGGAGCTTTAATATCCACACTGACTGACTCTCACATCAGAGGGGGAAACACTGAGCAACAGATCGTATTCCAGAACTCTTCAAACCAGAGCAATGAAATCTCCAGGATGACGGATGACCTCTGGCCTCTCCTCAAAGGTTGGCTGTTGCAAAATAGAATCCAAAGAGCTGCAGTAATCCTAAAGCAATATTTAACTGAAACTATACAACCAGCCACAGGAAAACTACAAATCCCTGTAGGAATATTACACATTAAAAAAATTACTTTGATGCCATGGAAAAATAAAAAATGTCAGTAGGATAAACTCGCTGTTGAACCTCGTGAACACAAGCAACAGGTCCGTCTACTGAACTGAGCTTTTTTTTTCAATTTTTTTAAAAAAGACAAATCTCCGTTTTTACATGAGGCTTTGGCCTCGGTTTCGATCACATTATGATGTCTCAGGCCCATATGTCGGCCTCACTTTGACTGCAGCCCGAACTAGAAAGACGCCCACATGTTCATCTGCCATTAAAACATGTGCAAGTGTATGTTTTACATATTTTATCTTATCTGTTCGTTCATTTTCAAACATTTAAAACACTCTGACAGTGAATCTTTTTCATCGGCGGCTGAAGTTCCCGAGGTTTAAATTACAGATCTGCTTTGAGTCATCTCCAGTCTCGGGTTGAAAAATACTCGCTGCAACTTTCTTCCTTTCTTTCTTCCTTTCTTCTTCTTCTCTCTAAATTGGAATTAAGTGCATATCCATATTCCCAGCGTTGATCTTTTTTATTCAGAGTTTTCAGAGCTCTTTGAAGTGCTCTCAGATATTTGAAAAAAAGTGTATTTAACAACAGTGTGTGTGGAAGAGGACTGAGTCATGTCCAAAAGTTAAAACGTAAGAGGGTTTGAATATATTTGAGTTCATATGAAGGCTGGAGTTTTTTTTTTCCTTATGTAAACCCTCTTTGCTGTGATATTTTTCAAAGTAAAATACCCTCAACGTTTTTTTAGAAGAAGCAAAAAAAAAAAAAAAAAAAAACGATGAGTAAATGTACGCTGTTAATTAATTGGCCTTTTTCTGCTAATTTGCCGCAAGACTTCTGATACCCTCAACAATAAAAACTACGAAGCCAGAGACTTACTCCCAGTCGGTCGTTTATTTATGCTAATATAAGAAGAAGTAGATTCACGGTCCACGAGGACACGGAAATGGATTTAACCTGTTGAATAAGTGATTTCAACTTTACACCAGTTTACACTTCTTTTATATTATGCTCGTAGTGGCGTTTAGATTCATGTAAAAGTAAATAAAGTAACAGTAATTTGTAAAGATACATTCAATTAAGACACGTTAATGAAAAAAAAGTTTATGTAAATTACTAATTATTAGTATTATTATTATTAGCATTATTATTATTATCATTATGTATTTATTATCATTAGGCTATGTCTATTATAAGGCTATTAATGTGTCAATTTGTTATTGTTTCTACAGGCATAATTTTAATAGTTTTAATCGTTACCACATGCGCAAATATTATAATTAATTACGTAATTAAAACAGTGTAGATTTATGATTAACGATGTGTCTGACTTTGTTTTTGCCTGTTTAACTTTATCATTAATTAAACTGAAACCAGTGACCTCTCCTCTCCACTGCTGCTCATTCAGTGTCAGTAGTAAAATCAAACTCTTCATTTCTCAAAGTCAGTTTTAAATCACACCAGAGTTATATTGGTTGTGTTAGATAGGCCTGATGGGCAATTATTTTCCGTGGCGTCTTTTTTTATTTTCAAAGTTGCTCACTTTAAATGTATTAGAAAGTTTACTATGTTTATTTCATAATTAAAAGTTGTTAGAAATGAGCTGTAATGTGTAAAACATGTCAGAATAAACCTGCGGGGAAATCTGAAGTCGACTAAATTCATGTGAATAATCTGTGAGTGACATGAGAAACTTGAGTTAATTGGAGTTTATGCCCAATAAGAAAGTTTTCCAAACTCTCTGCAGAGTCCCGCGCACACGCTTCGTCTCCCACGGCTGGAGGTCCGCCCATTCCTCCCTCTGATTGGCTCGCTTCTTTCTACTAACGGCTGCATATTTACCTCCCTCGCGGTCTCATTGGCTGCCGCTGCTGTCACTCTGCCGCTCGCCTCTCTATAAGGTCTGGTGCTCCGGCAGCAGCTGTAACGAACCTGAGATGAGCCTGGAGCAGCACCACGGTGCGTCTGTCGCAGCTCAACTATTTCCCATAGGCTATTCTCGCTATAACTATGATTAAAAATTCCTCAATGCCTTTTCATTCCTGGATTTATCACTTCCTTCGATTATATTTAGAGTAGTGTTTTTTTCTTTTTATTTGTAAGTTTTATTTATTTTGACTTTTAGGGTGAGCATGTGCGTAATTTTGCGAGGACTGCTGAGGTGCCACCGGGAGTGAGTGAGGCAATATGCGTCGCTGGGATATGATTTTCAACCGAGAGGCTTATGGAATATAGCCTGGTGTGTCACAGCCTGTATGCCCTCTGGTCTAGCCCCGTGAAGAAGAAACTAATTCTGCTCAGCATCATGTTTTTAATCTGGGTATACATGCTGTACTCCTGCGTGGGCTACTGCTCCACTATGCCAAGTTTGGTGGTGGACAGTTACCGGGGCAAGGAGACTGGCTCGGCGGTGGGCAAGAGGACAGAGAGCAGCAGCAGGACGGACCTGGTGTCCAGGCTGCTGGCCAAACCGCAGCCGTGGGAGGATATAGAGAGCGACTACGAGGAGCCGTCCATCAGGACCGCCGCGTCCAGAGACCTGCTCAATAACGAGCTGGAGACTGACCGAGCCGACGAGTGGGACGAGATGCGGGGCGAGCAGCAGAGAGCCCCGGAGCCCAGCGCCATGTCCAGCTTCTCCAACGGCTCCGGGAGCAAGAAGCTGCCGCAGGCGATCATCATCGGGGTGAAGAAAGGAGGGACCCGGGCTCTGCTGGAGTTTCTCCGGGTTCATCCAGATATCAGAGCAGTGGGAGCGGAGCCGCACTTCTTCGACCGCAACTACGAGAACGGACTGGAGTGGTACAGGTAAAGAAAAAACAAAAAAACAGTTCATTTAATACGTGTGGATGATGGTTGGATATGTCCAGAAAACAAAATGTGACTGTGACTTTTTAGAGGATATTGTTCCTGCATGAAATAGATTTATAGTATAGTAAGCAGTCACGTGATATTGATCAGTAAACGGGTCAAATATGTGCTTTTATATTTATTTTAGTGTTTTGTCGTTACATAGGATTTAGCAGGTTTCTTTATTCATTCCCTCAGTAATATTAACACCGTTAGATGCAACCCAACAAGCGCATTGACTCCTGATTGGTTTACACTCGTTTTTAAAATATATATATATATATATATATA